GTTGTTGTTGTTGTTGTTGTTGTTGTTGTTGTTGTTGTTGTTGTTGTGTTGTTGTCGTCGTTTCTGTTTCTCTGCTGCCAGGGTGTGGCTCTTTGTCTGGTGCTTGTGACTTGTGTTTGGTGTGGTTCTCGAAGGGAGGGCTTGGATCCTTATTTGTTTGCCCTGTGAGGGTTTGCTTGAACGATTCCCTCAAAACTGTGGGCCCTCAAAGCTGGGGCGGTCAATGTTGACTCACGCTGCATGGACCTCAAACCTGAGCCTGTGTCACGTGTTTGCATGCAAAACTTTTAACTATGCGTTCATCCGGAAGAACTGGGACTGTTTTCACTTCTTGACCACTTGACCACCATGGAAAGCGCTTCGCCGAAGCTTTTTCGGCGAAAAGATGCGAAAAGGCTTTTTTGAAATCCAAACCTCGAGTGTATCGCGAATGTTCCGTCCAAGGTACAAAGGTTGTGTGCAGCAACAAAAGTCCCGCAGTGGGAAGTGGCCGATCCCACTCGGCTAGCGCCACTGAGGCACCTGAGACGGTGAATGACAGGATTGGAGGTGGTCCGATCCGCTTATTTCCATCCAAAACCACCAACCCCAGTCTCTTGGAAGTGGCCAACGAATCGGACGCAGCCGGTCTGAAGAAACCAGCTTGCGCATCTGCATACCGGCCAGCCTGGGCCTCCAAACTTTTCATACCATATTTCTTTGTATCTCCAAAGTTCGCACGCAAACTATGGCGATGATGCCGTTACTTCAGCGGGTGTCAAATTCCACATTCCACCCATCTCAGAACACCTCTCCACCGAGGTGCTCTGAAGACCGAGCAAAAATAGGAGCACCACGCGGTAGTGTGCCAAGCGTTTCCAAATACCCCGCCTTGAGGCTACCAGACCTTGAAAACACGAGGGCAGCATCCAAACCAAGGTTCTCATGTTCATCTGCTTCTATTCCCTGCGCCCAGTAAGCCAAGAAGCTGTTGGACACTGGAACCTTAATATTGTCTATAGGACTGCAAAAGGTTTTGCTGCAAGGTTGAAACTGAGAACATCTGACCAAACATCAGCATACAATAAATTCTTTTGCATGAACCGTCGCAAACCTAGACAAATCATGTGGTCAGTTCCAAAGCAAGGTCAGGTGAAGGGCTGAAGGGCCTGATGCCTCGGACACAGTCAACAAGACCAACCTCGACTCAGCTCTTCGTTCCCAAATGTTTCCCCCTTTTTTTGTAGCCCGCTCCCCCTCCTCCCTACTTATTTAAGTAGGCGCCTACTTAATTAAGTCAGGAGGTAAGCTACTAGCTTACTTAAGCTACTAGCAACTGGACGCAGTATAGCTCACGCTTCTTCAAGGAAGCTCCCCCCCGCCGCCCTAAAGGGAAGCTTCCTTCAAGAAGCGCTCGCACTAATGATTTGGTTTCTAGATGTTTTGGGAAACTTAACATTAGAATCATTAGATTAGAACAACACAATAAACTGTTGGATCCGCTAAGTTGATCATTCGTTGGTGCTGATTGAAGCCAAGCATGTCCAAACAATGAAGGAAAAAAACCACCCAACACTAGGAGAGCTGTGCAGGTCTAAGGGCCTCTCTGCCTCTCTGTCCACCAAGGAGCTGTACCCTGCATAGAGTGGCACAATCAACCTGGAGGATGGCAGTGTGACTGGTGGCCAAAAGGGACGAGTGAGGCCGGAACTGGGCTCAAAGCATGCTACAAATGGTCAAACATATATAGTTTTAAGATGTTTAAAAACACTTACACATATACAGTATACACATATATTATACTGTACAAAAAAGAACGATCCCTCCACAAATCTGGTGAACCTTTGGGTTGGGTGATGGGGATGGGAGTGCTCGGGCGACATGACTCAGTTTGAGGTAGTGGACTGACCATCCTTCAAGTCAGCTACTGCTGCAGGTGGTTCGTTGGGACATCACGACCGCTGGGGGGTCTCCTGGTCTCCCATTGTGAACAAAGAGAGACAAAACGACTTGATCTAAAGGAAGTGTAATGAGGTGTCCATGATTCTCACGGACCATTGATCAAATGTTGCGCAATGTCCCAGGTTTTCCTCAGAAGATTTTGTTTGGTTGGACACCCCAACAAATGAACACATTATTGATGATCATGACGATGGTTGCTGAGTCCTTCATGTTTGTTAAAAACACACACACACACAACCACGGCCCCACCACCCAAGAAATCGTGCACTCCAAGACACCCCCAAAGCAAGGCGGTTCTCACCCAAAGCTTTGCCAGCGTGGCATGCACGGCGACGCCCGCGGTCAAGAGGGCCATGAAGGCACTCGACTTCATCACCGCCGATCCTCAGAGCCATCGGTGAGGACCAGGAGAACTTCCTGTGTTTTCTTGCGGAATCACCCGGTGGTACAGTTTGCGAGTTCTTTTTGTTGTAACTGAATGCATCTGAATACATCAGTGACAAGCACGCCATGACACCAAAAGTGTAACCTTCAACACCTCAGGAAGCTTCAACGTCAACCTTCAACGTACCGGCTAGCCCGTGCAATGAATTGGTGCTAGACACTTGGGTGAAACATCAGCATTGCCTACATAGACATCAACCGGCCATGCGCTAGCTATTCGCAAGGATGTTTGTTTATGGCCCGAGAACCGTGCTACAGCTCTTTTTTCATGCTTTTGTTGAGATATCACAATCGCTATCGTCACTTTCATCATCGTCGTCCTCGTCATCTTCTTCATCAGCTTCACACCAATTGTGATTAAACTATAGGGTGCAGTGGTGCTGGGTGGGTGGGTGGGTGGGTGGGTGGGTGGGTTGTCAGCACGTTCATCGTGGCTTGCATATGTTCAAATCGGCCTCACAACAAGTTCATTGAAGGAGACTGCTACTTAATCGGGGTGGGTGAGGTGCTCTCTATATACTATATTCATGAGATTTGTGCGATTTCAAGGCATAATCGTGGGAGTCCTATCTTATCTTCTCGCTGCTAGCACGAAACCACACTGTTACAAAATGATGCAAATAATTTTACTGTAGAAAGACACTGCAATTAGGACATAAGCTTTCTAGTCACCAAGACGCGTCGATCCGCGTGGCCTAAAACCCACAGAAACACGACTTCAGTTTTCAGGCCGGCGGGATGTGTTTGATGATCTCTCCCTCTTTCCTAAGGAATTCAACCATGGAGGGGTTCCATCAACCTCCCCAAGCATGTGATCATGTCTGGCCGGGTTTTACGCGCGTGTTGCGGGCGCAAGATGGGCACAAGGTGAGGTGGTTCCAGCGAGTGGCTGAAGACGTCGTATTTGGTCTGAGCAAATCTGGATTCCATGTCTTTCTCCACCTTGCTATCATCATTGCTGCTTTTCCGTCGAAAATGCGGGACAACGAAGAAGTACCTGGTCGAAGCAGCCAAAGCCCACAGCTGCCGTTCCCTAAGCCCTAGGCCCGAGGGGGATGTTCATCATGTTCATCGGTGCCATTTTCACCCGCAAGCCCATCTCTTTGGGAATGAAAGGTCTTTGGTGCTAAAAGCTTATCACCCAGTTGTTGCCAAAGCACACAACTCAAGTACGTAGTGTCAAAACACACTATAAAACGCTGTTGCCTCCCCGAAAAGAAACAACATGGACCACTCCAACAAGTGTTGAGGTTCAGCTTTAGGAGTGTTTTGGGCTCTGATTTTGTTTGTTCCAGGAGACCCCAAGGGATATTCTGTTTTTTTTGGAAGATTTTGGAAGCACATGTATGACTCACTTTGCTCCTTGGAGATGCGACACAGGTCCTGTGAGGCGCACTTTCGAACCTCAAGCTCTTCCAACTCCTTATCTCTCTTTCTGTTCGCCTGAGTCGAAGCTCTTCTCCCAAGACACCCATTTTGGTACGGCTGCACCCTATTTTGAGTCACTTCTCCCTGTGATCCCCAGCGACTTCGATCCAAATGGTCGACACCTGTCAGCACCACTCCCCAAAAAATAATTGTCTGCAAAAGTCAAAGAAAAATGAAGTATGATGAAGTGGAAAAAAACCTAGGCATGGTGAATACATGTGAACTTTGGGCACATGGATATATAATGATATAAAATATATAATACTTATTAACTATTGCATTCGTTTTATGGTTTTGGGTGGTGAATGCAGGCCATATTTGGCTTATATGGAGCGTTTGGGTATGATATGCTCTTGTAACTCTTGTACAAGGTGACGTTTTGAGGTGGTTAGCCTTAACCGCAACCTCTCTCTGCAAGACCCACGGCGGTCGTCTCACCGGCCTCACCAGTGCTGATCCAGTTCTTCTGGTAACCTCAGCGCCCACCCAGTTTGACTGGACTGGGGAAGAAGCATTTGCCGTGGGGCACTTTGCCAACGCCCAGTGTTCAAGCATTTTGCAAGCAAAAAACGCTTGACCAGTATATGGTTAAGATTATATACAAAACCAGCCCAATTCTCTTCGAGTGAACACCAGAAATTATTCTCCCGTTTTTCATAGCAGCTTAACTGGACATGGTCATACTGAGTCGCATCAAAACAACAAGTCGTGCAGTATTGATAACAACCATTTCTTGCACCTGTTGCACTCGGTGCCCCTCCCATCCCATCTTCGCAAACACGGATCTGTCACCTCAAACACTCCATGGGACTGGCATACTCATCTGCATTGGGGTGGTTGATTTCCGGGGCCGAGGCTATTTCGGTTCAATTGGTCGTTCCGTCCACCTACGCCACCCACCATCCCCAAGGGACTGAGATCCGCCAGCGACGCCCAAGCGATTTGAAAGGTGGAGTCCTTGGCGTCGCCAGAGCCAAACGGTGAAAACGGGGCGGGTTTGGAGCGGTTTGGGTGACGAGGAAGTGGCGGAGTTTGGGTTCCAAGAGGGATTCCCAAAAGGGACCACGTGGGGTCTATGACACCGTAGCCTTCAAAAACTATGTTAAAAATGGCGGACATGGTTTTGTATATAGTGTAAAATTATGTAAAATTCTTGCAACCATGGTTGTTCGGTAAAGACCATAAAACAACCTAAGAAGTCTTGCAAGAATATGTAGGAACAGCAGGCGGAAAATATGGGAAACATTGGATTCACTGGGATACACATGGAGTATCCTTAAGTCGCCCTGAGTATCCCAAGTCCGACGTTCGGCTTCGGTCCCAATGTCACAATGACATCATCTGAATGAGGATCATCTGGTCTGGTGTGAGACTCAATCACACCTGTCACACGAGGATGCACTTGCTTGATGTTGCTTGATTTGCTTATGTTGACAACTCAATCCACAGAAACATGGCTGATGGACAGCATGCTGCACCACCCCAAACGTTCCCACCCATCAGGGTTGGTTTGGAGAATTTATCAAATCGAGCAACCACCGGGACCCAGAAGTGCGGAGACATGCCAACCGCTGCGGACCAAATTCTTTGCAGAAGCACCTTCCCAACCGTGGAGTTTTCGCCCAAGTAACGGAACACTATGGTAGGAACCTATTGGGGATGGTCATTGTTGGCCCAAAAGCCCTTTAATTACAGGCTATGTCGGAACCACTCCGGTCTAAATCCGGTCTTTGGGACGACGCAAGTGACAGCAGCGAATGCCGGTTGACCCGTGGCTTGCAGTGGAGCTGCAGTGCTGTCGTTGGGGATCTCAGACATGTCCGGCGCCACTTTGCACATACGGCATCGGTGACTTGGTGCGGTTCTAGTCTCTTGTGATACATCTTTTTGAGTCGGGATGCAATGTCTGCCATTGCTGTGGGTGATAGTTCTATGATCTGTTATTCTGTTATTGAATGTCTTGAAGTGGCATATGTTCAGCAAGAATCATTCCGAAAGAAATGAACAAGCTTCGCTTCTTGCATAATGTAGTCTGTCTTCATTGCGCAGGTGTCCAACACGGCATTGCAAATGACTCAAGCCACCTGCGAGCCACGAAGTCATAATGACACTCAAGTAAGTCTGTTGGTTCTCAGAGATTCCACAAAATACACTGTCTGAAATAATCATGGAAGTGGAAAACCATCCGTTTGCAAAGGAAATTGTCATCCTCCAAGGGCCCATGCCATCCACTTTCATGATTCTTTCAGAGAGTGTAGCACTTGCGGCACTTGTGCAAGGGCAGGATACCCTGATATCCGTCACTTTGTACGCGAATTCCAACCAATCGTGAGGAATCTTCACTTGGATAACTTGCTTGGTCGCTGATGGTTCTGGGTGCTACAATATACAAAGAAACCAGTGGTCAAACTATATATGTCAGTTTTTTCTTTTTTTATTTTGACAATGTTGGGGTCTGCCTCTCTCCTAGAATAGAGATATTATCAAAAATCAATGGACCGACATATCCTCCAAACGGTATTGCTTCTTGGTCGACCTGACTACTCTTCAAACGTCACGACAAGGTGGACGATCACCGGCCTGCTTCAGGCCTTTGGTCAACAAATAGCCTTCCTTTTTCCCACCCTCCAGCTGACGACGGAGCGTCTCCTCAACCAGGTGATCCAAGTCTTGCAGGGCTCTTTTTCAGAACCTTCATGAAACTTCCCTAGGGCTTGCCACTTTGCCATACTTTGGTGTTGACCACCAATCTGAGACAGCTTTGAAAAGACCATCGATCACTGATCTCTTGCTACTGAATCTTCCACGTCTCAAAGCCCATCTCCCAAAAGGGAGACTGGGAGATGGCGAGGCCGTCCACGTTTTCAGGGTGACCCGGGAGGATGGGAGATGTGGTCGACGTTCTCAACGGGAAAGGACCACTCCGTGTTTCATATGCTCTCTCAACCAATCCAATCTATCTGCCTAGCCTTGGTGAGCAGTTTCCCATGCATGTGCCAGTTTCCTTTGCTCATTGAACCTCAGGCAGCCTGGGTCGGCGTTCCTCGCACCCTGTGTACCCTCTTGCAAGATGTCTAAAAAGGGCTACCGGGATACTCCTCTCCTGGAAGGGTATCCCCTGCCCGGACAGCCAGAATACAATAGAAAAAGCAAAACCTCTCCTGGAAGGGTGCTGCCAGCACGATGCCCAAATCTGTCTCCAGACTCCAAATGTCCAGATCCTCTGGCATCAAGGCGTCTCGCCACTCCTCAAGGCATCGAAGTGTTCGGAATGGTAGCCTGCGATCTCCCAGGAGTGGTGTTTCTGTGCATGGGAAGCCAGGTGAACTGTGAAAAAGATTATTCTGTTGGGGATTGATCATCCAGATATATCCCTACGCATCCTGGACGAATACTAAAGTGTGTGTGTGTGTGTGCAGCTGGTGCTTTCCGGTTCACTTTCAAGAACTCATCGTTTTTCAGCAGCTGTCACTGCTGGCATGAAGAACATAGCCACATGGCAATCCTCCAGTGTCCTCACAGTCTTGCCATTGACCTGCGCACAGAAGCAAACATGTTCAACACGTGATCCGCAGGTGACGTTGGACTCTGTTGGACAGCTACTTTCACACCATAGCCGCTATAGCCATTCCAGTTGCTATCCAAACTGCCAGCACTACTGCCTGAACAAAACCCTGCAATTCTTTAGGCATCCTTGCCCAGCATCGACACTTTTCTTGCGCCAATCCAGTCTTCCGAGATCTTCCGCGATGGTGCTCTTTGTCACAATGCGGATTGAAGATGTCCTTTCCTGCAGCTGGTGCAAGTCAACCTGGAGAGGAGCTTCTTCAGTACACATCACCTTAGAGGATTCACCCATCTCAGTGCCATCTAGACTCCCGTCAAACCGTCAAACCTAGATTGTCTTGTTTTCTCAAAATGAACATGCACTAGTCAAGCAAAAATTGGGCTCGGAATGACTTTGGACTTCTCACATTCTGAGATATTCTGAGCCATATCTGATTCTGATAGCAAGTTGCTGCCCAGAACCAACAAGCGAAAACAAACCTTCCAACAGCCCAGCGATGTGGCCGGACATCCTCGCTTCGCTTGCTTGGGCTCCCCACCACCATCACCGTGGGCAAAATCTGCCCGGCAGCAAGCAGGAAGCCCGCTGATGGAAAGCCATGGCATCAATCATTCGAAAGCCATGTGACGCATGTGGCAGACCAGCTAAGACATCGGAGACACAATCTTGCTGTGTTTTTCTTGCTACTTTCAACTAGGAGCAAAGGGCATCGCTTCTAGGAGCAAGGACGCTACTAGGGGCTCCTGGCATCGCTACTAGGAGCATTCTTACTACTAGTAATAGAAAGGTTTGTGAACTTTCAGAAGCAGGCCAGTTCGTCGTTTCAAAAAAAATGGGGGTCAATGATGGTAGATATCTCATTTGGCCATGGGTCCATTGAAGGGTGTGTTCTCACCAGAAGCATCTCTACTGACTGTAGCATATTATGTCCTGCACATTCCTGCACAGGGGTCCTTCTCCTTAATTTTAGGCCAATGTCTGCTAATGAAGCTGTCTAACACTACATATAGTACTATCAAATATATAATTAGACATTTATATACTCAACTCTACAGAGTTTCATCCAGGCTCGTGATTTGACTTCGAAGTATAATTACACTACAGGACATTCAACAAAAACTACCCCGAATTAAAATGCATAATGTGATATAATGTGCATTCTCTCGAAGAAAACACAAGCATTACTACGATGCCCGAAAACGCACGATATTTCGATCAGTGTCATGCATCTGTAGCTAAAACAACAAACCATGCGCTGACCGCTGTCCATTGCCTTCTCAACAGCGGAGCCTTCTGCCAGAACCTCCTCGGTTTTGCTCAAGCTCGAACGGGTTCACATAAAAACCTCGACTCTTGTGCTTCCCATGAGTGTCAAAACTATCCCGACCATTTCTGGTCAGCCTATGATTTTCACACACCTCCTCTACCTCACGAACCCATTAGTATCGGGTGTGCTTATCATTTTTTCGGTCATTTTTCGGTTCTCCACGTGTGCCACCTGCAAATCCTCTGCAACCAGAATCAAAAGCAGCACAGAGTTTACCAGAACAGTCTTTGTCTGCAAAAAAAAGGCTAACCTCCAGCACCCACCGGTCACCACCTGCGAAGCCAACCCTTCCGTCGAGCTTCACTCGCATAGCTTCCAGGACGGACATAGGTGATCCTGGGATGAGGACAAATCACTAGGAAAGGGTCCTTAGAAGCCTCTGAAGAAACGGGCTGCAACACCCTCCAACATCTTTACGATCGAAAGAAGACTTTGAAGCCTAGCTTTCAAGCCAAAGTTCATGTCTTTCTACAGAATTACTGAATTCTGATTTCGACCATTTCCTGCATTGGATACGAAGATGTTGTACTGCCTTAGAACCTCACCAACCGCGCCCAAGACCGCACATCAATCGTCCGAGGCACATCAACCGCGGCTTCGTGACCTTTTCGGGTAGCAACCAGCGGCTGAGCCTGGGGTTGCCACTTCGATGGAAGGCCTGCACAGCAACAAATGGGGGAAGAAAGGGGGCAGGTGATGTTCTTGCTGCATGGGGTGGTGGAAAAACGCTGTAGTTTGCAAAGCAAATATAATATGGTCTTTCATGGTCTTTCAAGAAGGTATTTCAATAAAATAAGATGCATATTTCATTTGATTCATGTATCAGTCAGCAGGAATTATAGGAATCCTTCGGTGATCATGAGCACACATGTCAGTTCGGATTGTCTCGTTGTGTGAAGATGCAAAGACCCCTACGAAGTCTCTGGTTCAAACAAGCGATCTTCTCTATGCCCTCTTTATCAACTACAGAATATTTATGGTCGATATTATGTCGATATTACTGTCGATATTATACTAATATGAGTCACAATGAGTCTACCTCTCTTCTGGGGCGGCTGTAGTTTTAAGAGGGTCATCCGCTGGCCAGAGGAAAACACCGCTCTTGTCAGTGGCTATATGTATTATCATGCTATTTCATTTAGTGGGTGTCCCCCTTAGTATTTGCCCTTTGCCGCATCTTGCCAACCGACCAATGAAAACCCCTTCTGAACTTCTGTGCGGAGCGGGGATCCATGCCCGCCCCGCCACCTGCGAGCCGCCCGAGCTGCCTCCGACACATGGTTCTGCGTCATGGCCATGACACCGACGTCACCAAAGATTTCCTGTCTTTCGAAGGCTCCGAACCCAAAAACAATCCAATTTCTGAGTGGGATCCAAATGCTTGGAAGTGTAGCTTTAGTACATGCTTACATCAGCCTCAGCAGCATCATTGTCGCCGTCGCCGTCGCCGCTTCCCCGCCAGGCCGCCGCCAGCATCATCATCATCATCATCATCATCATCATCATCCTCATCCTCATCCTCATCCTCATCCTCATCGTCATCATCATCATCATCATCATCATCATCATCGTCATGATCATCATGATCATCTTGTATTTCCTTCTCATCTGTCGGCCCGGTCTGAATGGAATTGGAATGAATTGGAGGACTGAGCATCTGGCGTACTTGTGGGTCAGGCCATCTGTCACAGGTTCATCAATGTAGACGATGCCCTGCCGCAAGCCGTATAGCTACTCGGAGCTACGGTACAGCTCGAACACATGGGCATCAGGGACGCATGGTATCGTACACTTTGCTTGGAAACCCTTGGACAAGCTTCGGTCTCCGCTGGAGCGGGGTGGGCATCGCGCGCATCCTACGGACCGTGTCACGTGTGGTGACTGAATCTATGGTGGGATCTCCCTCCGAGTCCTCCCGCCTGGTTGAATTCAGGTGTTCTGGTGGTGTTGACCTGCCAGGAGTGTGATCGGGGAGTCCGGGAGTCAGGTTGTTTGAGTCTTTTGGGATTCTTGAAGCCCATTCTCTGAAGCCATTCTGGATCATCAGAGTGAACTTCAGAGTCTGGAACAACTTGCCTTTTAAGCACAGGTGTTGCCGTTACCATCCGTTGCCAGACCACTTCTGGCAAAAGGCAAAAGGACTCCAAAACCGGTTTGTCCAAGTCTAGAGTCTAGCTATTTAATAAATAAATACATTAAAGGTTTAACAACTGCTGCAACCTTTGCAGGCCTTGTGATCCGTGATCTTGCCACCCAAGCACGACTGAAGAGCAACCTGCCCACATGCATCGTTGCTTGTTGGTCAAACTTAAGAAGTGCTTGAAGATTCCGCCAGGAAAATAATAGACGACATGAATCAACACTTGGTGATGCAGTGAAAAGACATGCCCAAACGCTCACAGGTATGCAACATTTGGCGATTGTTGGTAGTGAATGTAGGCCATATTATTGGCTTATATGGAGCGGCTTGCAAGAGGCTGGCACCCACCTGTTTACCATTGTTTGTTTACCATTGTTTACCCCGGTCAGGGCCAAGAACAACTGGCATCCAAATTTTAAGAAATCGTTCCTTCCGATTGACAGGAAGTGGATGGGACTGGCCCCAACAATTTCCGTTATAACCGGCGGGGCTTCCACTTCCATGTCTGTGTGTGCGGGTGTGCGTGCATGTGTGTGTGTGTGTGTCTTGGTGTGCTCGGAGGGGAATTACGGTTCTTATCTCGGAGATCTCCCCAACTGGGTCGAAGATCCCATAGGACGCTACTAGGGGCTCCTGGCATCGATACTAGGAGCAAGAAGCTACTAGGGGCTCCTGGCCTTACTACTAGAAACAAGAAGCTATTAGAAACAAGAATTCAATAGAATTAGAAGTAACATTATATAAACTAAATTTAATTAGAATTGATACATACTTTGATATATATATATAGTACGTCCTTCGAATCAAATCCTTCTAATCTCCGGCCAGTCTGGTCCCACAAAATTCTTCGGCCCCTCCGTCAAATGGACCTCAGCCTTCAGATCCTTTTGGATGTAAAACAAGTCCTCCAATGCCGCCTGACGACTCTCGCCACCCACGCTTCGCCCTCGCTGTGGTCAATGCCGCACCATGTCGAGCGCTTCGATTCTTTTCGAACGTGGTGCGTCGGGCAACCAATCTGCTGTAGGGTTGTGATCCACTGAAGCCGACCGAAGTGAAGATTCCACCAAAGAGTTGGGTCGAACCTGCTTTCCCTGGTCCAGGAATGTCCAGACAAATTGTCTCCTCTTCACTCTCGTCAGGATTGAGCAGCATTTGTTTGAGTCCTAGTTGGAAGCGGACCCCCACCACCATGTAGGTCCAACGTGCTTCTCAAATATGAATACAACAGGTCATCATCATCCTCTCATCTCATCCTGAGATTATATTGCATCTCCTACTAACCCTGACAATTCTTCGAGATATGGATAGTGCCCTTTAGAATCCTTTAGATCTCTTAGGCATTCGGGTTGCCAAAAGTGTTGGCAAATGGCGATCGAGCTTGCTTCCTCTTAATCACAACAGCACATAGCGCTGGTTGGCAAGATCCTCTTTCATCACTTTGTTCCCTCGCTCGGTGAATCTGAGGTGAAACCGATCTTGGAAACACTTCGAGAATTCAATCTTTCAAACAAGTCCGCTAGATCAACCATCCAGTCACAAACTTGAAGCCCCTTAAACATACCACAGTTCCTTAAATGTTTCTGCACAACACAAAGGCAATATCCTCGTCATCAAACAACTGCAAAACAAAATCCATCCAAAATATCCAAAAGGTCGGTCCCTGTGTCAGTTGGTACCGGCATGTACCGGCCTTGCCATGCATGAGGTCCTTGATGTCAGCTTTGCTGAATTGGTCCAGCTTCCGTCCTGCTACCTGGGACCCCAGCGCCGGAGGCGGGCAGCCACCAGATCCGACGCAGCCGGTCCCACACGAAGAAAGAAGACCATGAGGCACTGCGGGTGGTGGAAAGTGAGATCTTCAGCTATATGTCACGTATAACAAGTTTGGAGTCAAAAACAATTTTATAAAACAATGGTCGGACTGGGAGACCGTGTCTAGAAAAAAATATCCTTCATTATCCTTCCATCCTGAATGGGTGGCAGCATGTAGCAAAGGATGATCGAAAGTCCACCTTATTCAAGCGTGTTTGTTCCTTTGACGACTGAATGAAGGCGCACAAGTACCGTCTACATTATGCATAGTCTAGCCAAGTCGTGGACGGAAAGAAGCATGCTGCCTTCCACAAGTTCCGGCTTGGCCTGGCAAAGCTGACTGAAGAAACCAAGTAAGTGGGCCTTGATCATTCTGAACGCTCCATCTGACTTACATGGTGGTTGATCAATATATTCTTTCATCCTGGAATGGCCCGTCTTCGCTATCTTTCTTTCGCGGATCTTTCGCGGCCTCATCGCGAAGCATGGTCCTACAACCATGTCTAGCTAACATGAGCCGAACATGTCATAATATCACAAAATAGGGACAGAGATCTTGCAGCATGACCCCAGTAGAAGAATTAACGTTTCCACAGCTACTCAGGATCACTTGCAGCATCTGTGCGACAATTGTGCCAAATAGAATCAGGCACAACTCAACCCAATCCTCGCGCCAGCTACCAACACAGGGTGACGCAGCTTGGGGTTTGTTGGGAATCTGGACTTTAGCGGCACATTCGCGAAACTTTCGCAGATCTTTCGCGAAGCTTCACTGGTGCTTTCCCCGGGAAGCCGTAACATTTGCAAACATCTGCACAGCCCGTCAGAGCAGCTGCAGGTCGTTGCTTCACTGTGAGGGCTGTGCCTACTCAGGTTGCTAGTCTGTGACAGTGGGGACAGGAATCGGAGAATCCTTCCAGGGCTGGGCACGGGAAATGTTGAGGCTTCAGTTCGTTAGACTGTGACATATGGGGACACTTCCGCCCACCGGCTCTGCCAGGGGGATTTCCTTGTATTTCTATTCTTTGTCAGTCCGGTGGAAAGGAACACATATGAAAGCGATGACCTTCGATAAATCTTTCGCGGAAAAACAATATACTTTCGCGAGCCTCATCGCGAATCTTTCGCGGATGGTTCTAACAACATCCAAAAGGATGTTTTATATAAAACTCCTTACACGGGGTTTTCGATCAACTCCCACATGTGTAGTGCTCCGATCCACCCTGGCTATCCCGACCTTGCTCATGAATCCGTCGTCGTGAACTCTTCCGACAAAGACTCCTTCCTGAAGCAAAAGCCAGTTGCAAAAAAACAGATCGCCGAGTGCAAGAAGTGTAGCACTGCGCACAATGGCTGTTTGATACAAACAAAAGGCAGTGAAAAAGAATTGACACATCGTTGGATCATGTTGGATCTGCCATGCATCAAATTTATGCAGTTTAGTAGTTGAGTCTCTCGCGGGCCATTTCCCAACCGCCCGTTAAACCAGCTTGCGCACTTCCCATGCCTGGCAGCCCTTCGAAAAGTTGTAAAGTGCCTGGCTGTGGATCCAGAGCTAGGCGAGATCGGGTGTTTTTCATCTCTCGAGTACAACAAGGACCCTATTTTGAGGCCTAGCTCTCAGAAGAAGTCGACTCCAGATCCTTAAGCAAACTCGGCGGATGCACACTATACATTCGGAAGAGCTGCCCTAACGGGAATTCCTGTTGCGAGACACTTCCGCACACCCGATTGGACTTCATCCGGGGGAGAACTGTTCGATGCAACTGGGCGACCTTCGAACGGATACCCTGGCAGCATCCAGCCATATCCCTAAATTAGGTTGGAGGCCATCGCTATTAGACTGTGGATTCCTCTTTCTTCCCCTCATATCTTCGAACACATCTTGGAGGGTTCCAGCCTCATTGGGATGGATGATTGTAAGCCCATGCCCCGGGGTCGTAAAGCCTCGGACGCGAGCAAAAACGCACCGCGTGGCATTAGGACCATCTGGCCACCAAGGAATTCCCATGTCTACTGCCTCGAAGGTGAAGAACACCATTCTGTGTGCGTGTGTGCTTAAAACTTCGAAAGCTGTGAGCGGAATGCTGTTACTACCCCAAAGTATCTGCACAAGACTTCTGTGGCAGCAGGACAAGGATCATTTGTCAAGCTTGCATCTCAGTTCTAAGGATTACTCCTCCCAATGATTGTGTATCTGCTACCTTGAAGGACGACACTGACGACACTCACCAATGTGTTTCTGAACATTCTGCTCTTGGTGCACCGACCACCTCGGCTCCAGGGTGGACTGGTCTGCTCCTGGCATCCAACACATCTCCTTCCAAGCCGATGTTGAGAACGGCCCAACCCTCGACAGTCGATGTTCTGCTGGGCACAAACACCGCCGCGCCGGGGGCCTTCAAGTGCAAGTTCACTAGAGCCTGTCAGCTCAGCTGGAAAAGAAGAAACAACACATAAAATGTCATAAAATCACATAAACACATCCTTGGACATCTAGCTACGACCGAGTCATCAATGACAACTTCTGACTTCTATTTCTAACCCGCCACTCATCTCACATATATATATATATATATATAGTCTATGTATGTCTATGTCATGTATGTCCGAACAATTCAGAGCCAGGGACTTGCAGGATGAATCGCCATTCTCTCCATTGATCGTTGGGGTTTAATATAGGATAACTTTTGTGGGTAGCTCATAGGGTACCCCATAGGGTACCCCATAGGTACCTGGGTCGTTGGAGCCAGGCCATACCTGTTTCAGTCAAGAATTTCTACCTCAATGATAGAATATTAATGTAGACTCTTCATGAATAACCCTCCCCCATTTGGATGTACAACCTCTTCATATGGTGTGTCTTATTAATCAAGAGTCAAGAGTCTGCATGAATTTTATAAAACCGACCGAGCCAGGGAGGTTGTCACAGACGAAGCCTGCACCCGGAAAGCGGGGATCACATAGTTGATGTTTTCACCTGAACAAAGCCCGGCAAATGCATGAATGGTGAGGCTTCTCAACAACCAAATACTACTGCTTGTAATAATCTACACAATGAATTCAAGGGATGCAGTACATCAAAACCTGTAAAATGATAAACACAAACTATCAAGCTGGAACAGCAAGCACCAAACTATCGAAAATACTTTGTTCGTTTTGGAGCACCTGCTGTCAGAGCATCTGCTGCCGTGAGATTCAGATATTACATCATTGCGTCTGGAATTTGACTTTTCAAACACATCAAGCAATCTCTGCAACATACATGCACATTAATTACAAGCAAACATACGACGACCAAGTAGCCACAAGTCGACGCATGTCGATGCTCATTGACTCGCCATGACTCACTGCAGGTCCTAACATTTCTTACACATTCCTATATACTTCTACCATCCACAGGCCATCCATCCATGTTTGGAATACCCCATTGATGACCGTAAGTAACTCTTCCAGTCCCATGGATGTTCTGGGATTAACCAAGACAAACACCTCCAACATCCCCACACATGACTTGCGGTCTGTCAAGCCGTTGTGAGGATGGAGTCACAAGTCACGGTAGGTCAGTGGGTACATCTGGCGATTGATCACCCCCCCAATGTGATCAATCGAACAAAACCATGTGAAGAGGTTTTACCTACGATCCAAATTGGGATGGTTTTCATCAACATTACATTCAAGTTCCTCCCACCCTCGGATCTCCCTTTGATCGACTCTTCTCCTCGTGTGGCACCAGCAAAGTTCACGCCCAAGACCTGATCGCCGGTGACCGGTCCATCCGACGCACAGCGCCCTTGTTACTGGTAGCTTCTTGCTCCTAGTAGTAAGGCCAAGAGCCCCTAGTAGCGTCCTTGCTCCTAGCAGCGATGCCCTTTGTTACTAGTAGCTTCTTGCTCCTAGTCCAAGCGCTACAGGACCATTTCGCCCAAAGGTTGGCGGTTCTGGGGGTGTCAGTCTGCTGAGAAGCTGTGACCGTTGGGTCGGAACATCAACGCCTTTGCCAAAGCTGTGACCGGTGAGTCTGGGTTCTTGGCCATGGAAGCTCCAAACCCACCAAAAACGAAGGCTATTTGGGGGCTTAGTCAATCAGCTAAAGATCTGGCCTATAGCAGGGGTTCTTTCATTTGCTCCCAACTAGTCCTGGTCCTTGAGTTTTGGAAGGGACAGCTGGAAACTGGAAGTTGACCTGATCTGACATGAGTTGACTAGTAGTTTGCTGCAGGCCAAAACGTAACTTGGCCTGTGGCAATATGTGGACATTGTTGGTAGGACCAGGAACCTGTTCATGTTGCAAAGTCCTTCTGCATGGTTTCATAGGTGCCATTACCCGTCGTGTAGCTGATAGGCTTCTCTGTAAACTCGGGACTCTTGCGCTCATATAGGAGGCCTGGCCTCCTTCCCAGCGTTGTCCAGCAATGGCCCACCGCCTGCAGTGGTGAAAACGCGCAAAATGGCATGCGATGTGGGCGGATCCCATGGGACCGTTGGGAAGCTGAACTGCATGGCAAAGGACTGAGCCAGTCATGAGCCAGACCTAATTGAAACATAGTGGAAAACATGGTTCTGCCAACGAGAGTGGGACAACTACTGGCTGGGCTTTCTGTCGTTTTCCAAGCGGATGGAGTCCATCAAAATACATGCAAATGCGAGTTGGTTCTGCATTCCCTCTAGTTGAGGCAGACCCTGCTAGATCGTAATGACCACATCCAAAACATGGTTCAATACCCTATTACATCAAAATCCTCCAAAACATTCCTCACATTTCACTCATATGCAATATTATATAATAGCCTAGCTCTATGATTATTTATAACAACTTATGGTAACATATAATATAACTGGCTCCGGGATGACACTCGAAAGGCGAGCCTTTCACATGGACCCATGCAAATAAGAAAGCTTGAAGTACTGAGCCAGCGACTATTGCCAGGCGAGATGGGGGCAGTTGACCTAAAGTCGTAGGCAATATAAGCGACGCAGACTTTGGACCCTAGACGTGCAAAAGGTCTTTCTGCCCTTTCCAGCAGCAACTGTAGCTTAAAAGCCGCTGAGCTCAACGCTGAATGCAGAGGTTGCTGCTAACGATCTCGTTTCCAGCGACATTGCCTGCGATCAGTGGTATATAGGCATAGTACAGCATAGGGCATGATCATCTGCATTGATGTGCGCTCTCAAGCGTGATGATTCCCCGCAGAACTTACAAACGTCCAGCCGTCCCAAAAGCAAAATCCTCTTTAATATTTCAAGGTGAACCTGGATGGACCATTCTGAAACTTAAAAAAAACGGTACATTCACTTTTGTCTAGTAAATGGTTACGGCCAGGTAAAAATGTTGTCTAAAAAATGCTAGGCATTCTAGGAAAGCAAAAAACATCAAGAACCAAGACCTTATCTTCATGACGTGTTGCCTCTCTACGGAATGGTCTTGTACAGGTTCACTGTGCGTTAATTCAAACAATGTAAAACAAACAACATTTTCTAGAGGCGCCATTTTTTTGAAACATATTCATTGATTGTAAAACGTGAAAAAAAAAACAACAACAATGTCCTAGAGATGTTCAGCTATAAATGAAAACGATGAACAAATATATCAAGCAACCAATTTCTAGAGTGTAAGATCTTGTACAATCGTATATTCTTTGCCGTGCTTATACAAACACTGTGACACAGCAAGCTTTCCTCATTTCGATTCATTTTTTTCACTATGTTCCACTCAATCTTTGTTCCCGAGTGTTCTGGACAATCATTTTGATTGTCAGATTTCGTCAGCGCTTTGCCAATCCAAACAATTTTGTACGATTTTTGATGGAACATGCTTTGCACAGTTTGCATATCAAACAGCTGTCTCTAGAAACTGGTTTCCTTATTGATTGCTGCTGTTTTGCCAAACGTCTAGAAAGTGTTCTTGTACCTCTTTTCAAATCCCATTATTGTCAAGCACAAGACAGCTATAGGCTATAGATGTCGTCCAGGAATTGGTAAGGTATTGTAAAACACATGATTGTATCATCCATTAAGAAGCTGTTTTATAGAAAACGGTAGGGCTCTAGCAATATTTTCTCTCTTTAAGAAGCCCAACCCAAGCCTCTGTTCCCCAAATCGCACCGTCTGAACCGACCTTCCACCACTCACTGCCTCCAAACATCCCCCCACAAAAAAGAGACGCCAAAGTTTAGTAGTAACAATAAGCTACTAGGAACAAGTGCACCGCTTCTAGTAACAAGGGCCTTACTAGTAGTAACAAGAAGCTATTACAAACAATATATAAGTTAAATTATCTCCCTGAGCCAGCGCAACGCCTTTGGAGATCTTCAGGGAGTTCTGACCCAGCGGAAAGCCCAAGGCCACCACGTCTTCGCCCATCTCCGCCACCTTTCGTGACCTCAGAGCGCCGAGAAATGGGATAAGGATAAGGCCCTTGTTACTACTAGCGTGGCACTTGTTCCTAGTAGCTTCTTGTTACTACTAGTAAGGCACTTGTTACTACTAGCGTGGCACTTGTTCCTAGTAGCTTCTTGTTACTACTAGTAAGGCACTTGTTACTACTAGCGTGGCACTTGTTCCTAGTGGCTTCTTGTTACTACTAGTAAGGCACTTGTTACTACTAGCGTGGCACTTGTTCCTAGTAGCTTCTTGTTACTACTAGTAAGGCACCTGTTACTTAGAATGGGATAATGGGTGTGGTTCTCACATGTTTTCACTAGAGCACCAGAGCGCCCGGATTCTTGGAGAGCTGTTGAACAGCTGGGGAACGTAGTGAGTTCGATTTGAGCGACACAATAAAATGAATCAACTCCCATTGATTTAGCGGTTCCATTCAATTCCCTTCACTCCCTGGCTATTGACACGAAATTATTGTGAGATCGTATGTGGCCCCTGGCCCAAATATTCAGTTCACCCGTCTCACCAGCACTGGCACATGGTGTATCCAAGTGTATCCTGTCTTCTAGGAGCAAGGACGCTACTAGGAGCAAAGGGCATCGTTACTAGGAGCAAGGACGCTACAAGGGGCTCCTGGCATCGCTACTAGGAGCAAGAAACTATTAGAAACAAGAATACAATAGAATTAGAATTAACATTAATCACCACCCACCTGCGCCAGGCCTGGGCCCGGCCCCGGCTGGGTGCACGGCAAGGTCAGGGGCTGCACTTGAAGTCCGGCCTCCTTCAGAGTGGTCTTGAAGCCCTGCCACGAAGGAAAACGATCCGTGGAAGAACTGTCGCAACCGGTGGGGTTGTCTGTTGGGAACCTGCTTTATTGCTGTACTGTAAGAGACCTTTGGTAGCAAAGGACGGTGTGAAGTCAACAGCACAATTTCAACCAAGTTGTTCTGACATCTCATGAGTGACTGACATTAAGCTACATTGAGCTACAGTCTTGGAGGTGCCAACAATTCCTGTTGCAAAGTCATTCCGCATTGCCTGCCTGATCATCCTTGAGCGTCAGAAGGGCTAGGTCAAACTTGGGGCCTTGCAAAGGTCATGGTCAGAACCAACATTTGAATGGTTGTCCAAATATTGGCTCTTACAAAACAAAGCATGATATGACATGATGTATGACACAGGAATACTGTTTGAATCAGGTCGCAACACATGCTCATCCTTGGCAAGACACCTTTTGAAGTGGCTGCAAAATATGGTCGTCGCTCGGTCGCAACACCCCTAAGCAGTTGACACGCGGAAACGATTTGCACGTCCCACTTCATCTGACCTCAGTGCACGTGGAGCAGGTCTTCGGCCGAGTCCGGCCCGGTCTTCACGGCAACGAGCAATTCAAGGCATGGACGACTCTGAGGCTGAGGGAATGCACAAGCCCGAACATGAGCATTTGGTAACAAACATTAACAAACTATGTCAAAGCAGTTCGCGACAATTTTAGGATGCAAAAAAAAAGCATGCAAGTTCCAAACCTCAAGGAGCCTCACCTCATTGCTTCCAGACACAGTGATCTTCCCCCGTGCTGTCGTTTTCTGAGTCTCCCTTGCTATGAAGCAACAGCTGAATCTGCACACGGAGTGCATCATTGATGACCTCAGCTCGTAACTTCACCACTTTCCAAGACCTCTAGACAAACACTCACTATGTCTGGAGTCTATATATATATATATGCTATCAAATTCTGTCTCAGTTGTCACCAAATCCTCTCATTTTAGAGGTATCCAGTCCATGCCATCTTGGAAGCTTTTGGTTCGAGAACCATCTGAAAACGCAGTATCTCTTGGGATAGCTAGTCCTGTGGTTTGAGCCTAAAATGAAAGTGAGTGCCTCTCGCCTACACTGCAGTGGATGAATGTGTACAGCAAGATTCTCACCCGGTGGAAGGAGTCACCGGTGGCCCTCATTTAACTCAGCAGCGACGTGCTGCAGCTTGCAGCCATTCATGGACATGGAATTTGCAGCCAAAGCACATGCTGATTTGTTGCAATGAGGATATATGGTTCCGTCTGCACCTCAAGGCAACTTGTGTATGATGATTCTTCTTGAAAGCAAGGCTTCAAGCAAGCCAACACACGCGCACATCAAGCACATCACACACACACACAAACACATACACACGCACGCAAAGAACACCTCGCTGTCAGCTGCTTACAGTGAGCTAATGGCCAAGTACCAGGGAGGAAGCAGATTCGAGAAACAAACATCATAAGCAAACCAAGAAAGACAAAAAAGTTTTCGTGGCATACTGCATAGAAATTATATTGATATTGAATTTTGACCCTATAAACAGGAGCACTTCTGTCTCCAAGGAAGGAAGTTCACTGGCTGTTCTCCCATTCTAAATTGAAGCGCTTGATCAATGGGACTACTTGAACCAACATGGCGCAATGGACCGCCTCGCAACATCACTTAAACCCACAGGCTGACCAAAAATCACCCTCATCCCACTGAGTTTGGTACGATAAATCCGCTTTCCAGGCTCACTTGTCCATCTTGCGGCTTGAAGGGACGAAACCTCGGTGGAGCCGAACGTGCATAGCGTGGCGCAGCGTGGCGTGGCGCGTTTTGGGATGTAGCCTCCATTCAATACGGCGGCACGTCATGGTAAGGCGGAGCTTTGGCTGTGCAACCGACACAACGTCGGAGGCTATTGCCTTGGGAGGAGAAAGAACGAAACGAAGGCCAAGAACGGCCCCCTACTCTGGAAAACTCCCTTCCCAATTCTTCCCATGATACCAGTTGATACCCCAAAAGGACCTGCAACATCGGCCGAATCCCTAAGAGCATGATTTCTGAGTTCCCCATTCTCCCGAGTCGATGAGGCTCCAGACCAGTCGAAGCTTGCACCCACAGTTTCGATCCGTACGATGCCTTGTGGTGGGAACATGTGCTTTTGTAGTGGGTGTGGGAAAATGGAAGGCAACCAATTTCACAATGATTTTTGGCGGAAACATGTTGAACATATGTTTTGGAGGATTTCTTCCAGTGGATAGTCACCTTGAGATGACCAAAAAAAGACCTTGAGCATGCAATCATGCAGTCCTGCCTTCTCTGCTCATGATTCACCTAAAATCTCATCCCATGACAAGAAATTGAAGCTTCCTAAAGCGACGCTCTCCTACTTCTTCACACATACAGTACCATTTCTGGATGGTTCATGATGGGCTTACTTGTTGAGTCTTGGGAAACTGCGATCAAGGTGCTACGTTGCAAATGGTCGTAGTCGATTTCCTGCACCAATCTGATCTGCTTTGTCAACAGAATTGAAACTAACCGCTGCACCCATGACCATGAAGTTCTTAGACAAGAAACTTTAAATATGGATAAGCATAGTGAAGTGACAAAAAAAGGGACTGCTTGGGAGTGTTCCACGGTGTGCATCATTTGCCAGTGTGCCTGCTTGTCAGCAAACTTTCGGCCCGCACTTGATGTGATTAGTGCCAGCAGCAAGATCCTGGCCTTGTGGTCGAAACAAAGAACAGCGGCTGAAGGTGCTGACTCACGGACTTTGCATATTCATGCATACCCCGCTCTTGCTTTATCCGAACCAGCTTCTTGCCTGCCTCATCTCCGATCCTGGCTCTAGTGCCCCAGGAACTAGAGATGGAACATACGCAGAAACGAACCTGGGAATCTTCACTGACAGTGCATAGTCGATCATTAGACATATATATATATATGTATTTCATTGGGAACAAATCAAATTGTTGGGTGGTGGGTATCCTAAACAAGAGAAACAAGCATATACACAAAGCGGACCCGATGTGCTTTGTTTAGATGCTTCAAGGGCCACACGACAGCCATCGCAGCCAACCACTGCAATGGCCTCGCATCGAAAGGAAAAAGGGCATGTTTGGTACAACTAGTTTGACCATAGGCCCAGGCAAAGCATGATGAAAGCATGATGTGTGGATCAGCAGCGAGATGGCACCCTAATGGCCCCTTCCAGGTTGCTTCCAAAGTGATTCGGATTGACAGAACCACAGAATTTCAACCACAGAATTAATGATTTCCACAAAACAAACAACCAGCCAATGTTTTACCAAAGGTTTTAGACTACGACAACACCAGGTCAACCTGGAAGGCTAGGGAGAATGTGCCAAGTAAGCACCTGAGCTTCGGGCCAGCGCCCTTTAAGGGCAGCTTCAGTATAACGGACTGAGCCAAATGGCAACACGACGAAGCAGCTGCTGCAAGCTCAGCGTGCTCCAAATACGTGGGAGGATTGGAGGGTCGAGACATCTCCCTCTGAGGGCACTCTTTGCAACCTGATTGACACTCTATTTCGTATTAAGGTACTCTGTCCCTTGAGGCCATCCCAACCACCTTCTCAGGAGGTAAAGTAGTTGCACCCCTGAGGGGCATGCAATACGAAACACTCAATATCAGTGTCCCCCAGCCCACAACCGATTTTTTACATCCATTTCAATTAACAGTTCACCGCAAGATCATGGGCGCTACGTCACGACTGTGATCACGACGATAGACATCAAGAAGTTCCAGTACGGACGCTCTATTGACATTACTATATAGTACTTTGAAGTATGATAACAAGTCCTGCTCAAAGCCATTATCTCGCGGGGCTTCCTTGACCAAGCTGCAAAAGTGGCGCAATAATACTCAATAAAGTAGCCCAAAACGTCATCAGCCACCCCCCTGCGAGGCCGGGACCATGCCCAAGCGCAACTCGTAGCGCGCCGACTCGGCTTCTCGGAAGGCCATGCCTCAAAGGCCGCCACGCTTCACGGACAGCTTCCGCCACGCTTCACGGACGCTTCACGGACGCTTCACGGTTCATGGCCGGGCAGTTCTTCGGTTTTGCTCAACAAAGGCGATGTTTACCCCAGCACAGGACTCCTCAGTGTATACAGTAGATCAACCGGACCGTCCCCAAGGTAGGAACCACGGGCGTAGCTGTACGTATATATATATATATACTATGAGCATGTATGAGCCCAAAAAATGTTACTGCCCAGCTCAGCTTCCGGGGAACCACAACTTTCAAAACGATTATATTAAACAAAATATGTGTGACCAATTATGTAGATGCATTGCTGGGATTTTTGATTCATCCAAGAACTGGACGTCACTCTCAACCCAGGAAATCCCAACAGCGGTTTCAAGGGTCTGCGCTGGGGATTCAGTACCACACACTCGCTCCACAAAGTCCGTGCACTCCTTCATGGTCATTTGGCTTTATCATGCTTGAGTAGCTTTTTAAGGAGCAAACAACTGGAGCAAGGAGTCAGCTTGTTGGAAGTAGTATGTTTTCCTACAACGGGAGTTGTCAAGGCAGGATATAGAAGGAAGCCAACTCCCGGCATATCCATGCATATACACATATCATAGACCTACTCATTGAACGGAGAATTTAGGCTCTTAAACTCTGTGACCCCAAGTCACTGTCCCAAAGGTTGTAGTTGAAGCTTAGGCCCACTTTTGTTCACGCTTGACTGAGCTCTGGTGTCGAAATGAACACAAAACGGCTGCAGTGAAACATACATCTATACAAGCTATGTCATGTACATGCCACTGGTGCTACATCTGATCACGCCTCCCGAGTTTAACTTCTGGGAGATGTTAAGCGAGTCAGGATTAGCACTTAATTAGCTCGTAGCCCTTCAGTACTTCTTCAAGACCAAGATGTACCTACTTTGGCTCAAGCCATTCACGCATTCAAAGTCAGTTCATGCTCACCTTCCAAGTAGTGGAAGTTCATGCCTTTCATGGCTGTAGTCATTTTCTCCTCGGTGACCGCTTTCGTAAGCACGTCGGCTAACATTCGGTCGGTGCCTTCCTTCTTGAGACGAAACTCTTTCTTTGCTGTACGCTCTTGTACCCAGTGGTACTGAGTGTCAACATGTTTAGCTCGTCCCAGGCCTCGACGGTTTCCCATGGCGATGCCAGCGGAAGCGTCCATGGTCACCTCTTTGCTGGGAAACAATCCCCAGTCTCTTGCAGTTGATGCGACTCCAAGCATTTGACATGCTCCGGAAACAAGTCCGTAGTACTCGGATTCGCCACTGCTCAGGGAGACAACTCCTTGGCCTTTGCTGTATGTAGTGAGACAGCATTTGTTGGCCATGAGCACGCCTCCTGACACACTCTTTCGTGTCCTTATGCAACCTGCATGGTCGGCGTCTGACCACATGTTGAAGGGGTTGCAGGTGCTTTGGTTTGGAAACAACTGTGCAACTCTTGGTCGATACCTGACATATCGAGCCAATCGTTTCAGCATATTCCAGTGCCTCGATGTTGGGTTCTGTAGACCTTGTGCCAATGAGCGCGTTGCAGTTTGCAGATCTGGTACATTGTTGCATCTTCGGCACTCAGCGGAACTTCTTCGTGTTGGAGTTCCTCTTGACTTGGCTTGGCCAAAGGTGTCTTGACCTTGCCTGGTTGACCAGTGCCTAGCCATTTGATGATCAACTCTGCATGTCTTGGATCTGGTTCCCACCAAATGCCTTCATTTGACCAGGTGATGATGCGATTCAACACTCTGATCTGTTGACTTGCTTTTGGTGAACCTGGTGGACCGAGAATGCCTCGTTCCACAACTTGCCATTCTTTGGCTGCTGAAGTGTGAAACCATTTGATGTCATCAAAACTTCCAACTGTCGTGAAATCGTCTCCATGCACTTCTGTTCGAAGTTCTCTGGATGCATGGTAGTAGATGCATGGGTTGGACTTGCCTTGAACAAATCCTAGCTTTTTCATAAACTCTGCAATGGTCAGCTCCCAATTCATAGGTGCGTCTCTGGTGCCGTAAAGGCTTCTGACCAACTTTCCTACTACATCTCCATCTTCAGGTCTCTTGCCTTCTGATGGAATTTCAACATAGAGTTCTCTTGTTGCTTTGGAGTAGAAATGAGCTCTCTTCACATCCAAAAATCCTAGAAAAGATTGCTTTGTCTTTCGCTTCTCGCCTTTCTCCAATGGAAGGCTGTCACTGACTGCGATGGTTAGCAGTAGCTTCAAAGCTGCTAGGCTCGGCATGGCTGCGAAAAATTCGTCAAAACCTGAGCCTCTTTTGATTTCTTGTGCTACCAATCGACTTCTGTAGAGAGGATTGGTTTCATCTTGCTTGTTCACATGTACCCATCGATTTCCAATGATTTTGGTTCCTTTTGGAACTTTGCTCCTTGGGATCTTTTCCCAAACTCCCATTGATTCGACAATGTCGATCTCATCCTTTCTGGCTTTCTCTACCTTCTCAGGTAGAAGCTCTTTTCCACTGATGTCATCATAGTACCACCAGTCTTTTGCCTCTTCTGCCATTTCTTCTGGCAGTGGGATCTTCTCTTCACACGCGGGTTTCTCTGGGTCGATGCTAGATAGCACTCTCTCTCTCTGTCGTCTAGGATTAGGCTTTCTAGAGCCACCTCAATGCTCTGGATGTCTCTTGTTCTCTCGGCTTCATCTTCATGTTCGCCTTCTGCCTTTCTCTTCTTGTCTCTATCTACTCTGGCTTTTGCTGTGGGTGATCCTGCTGGTTCATGTTGTTCTTCGTGTTCTCTCTTTTCTCCATGTGGTTCAGGTTCGCGTGGTCTGCGAATACCTGATGCTGAAGCTGATGCTGTGCCTGGTGTTGGTGGTGCTGCTTCTGGTTCGTACCACAGTTCTGTCACAATATCCATCTTGTGTAGTAATGCTCCATTGAGTATCTCTGGTGGAAGGTCTGTCGTCATGACTCCACTCTCGATGATTGCATTGTTTGCATGGTTTCTTGTGACTCGGTGCCAGACGGTAGACCAATCAGGTCCTCCTGGCATTGTGGTTTGGAAACAATAAGCTTCGACGTCAAGTCGTGCGAACACCCGACATGAATCGGGGACTCCCGATGGTCTTTTGCTTTCATATCCATGAAGGATTTGAGGTCTCTTACCACTGACTGGTTGTGGCATGCCAGTGATTGCCTCTCCAACTCGGCTTTCATGTCTTGCTACTCTTGGGTTCTCTTCTTCTTCTCCTCTGATGCTCTCTTCAAGTCTGTCTCGACACCTGTTGGTGTGGTGAATGCCTGTAGATCTTTTGCCAATCTGTGTGGCATCACAGGCTGGGCAACCTGCAGTGTACCCAAACTTTTCCAGGTCTTTCTTGGTGATGTAAAGCCTTCTCAGCTTTCTTTTCTTGTCATCAATTGCCGGTGGTTGGACTAAAGCTTCACCACTTGGACTGGCAATGACTGGTTCCCTTGGGGCTGCAATCGCCGGTTCTTCGCGAATTGCTTGAGGGTCCCAGCTAATCCCAGTAATCGATTTCAGCAACTCTGAATCATATCGATCTTCTTCTGGCTTTCTTCGAATGGACTGCACTGTAAAAACACCTGTGGAATTTCCTACTATCTTCTCTGTGGTGGTGTCTTTCACTCCTAGAAAAATTCCTTTGGTCCATTGGGCCTCGAACTTGTGACCTCTCTTGAGGTATTCGATGGCCTCACCGAAAGGTGGAATTCGGTGGAATTGCTACTTTCCATTCACGTCCACGAAGTCGTGAATACGGAGTCTTTCCGTCTTGAAGTTCGGTGGATCGGAAAAACAGATTGTAGACTGTGGATGCGTGTTCAACTAACCAGGTCAAAACAGGTGAATCGTCAGGAAGTTTCTCACCATAGTTCGACTCGATCGCGGCTCGAAGAGTCCTGGCTTGTCCTTCCAAGGTTTGAACTGCTCGTTCAATCTCTCCCTTGGATTCTTTGACTCCTTTCGGGCTCTTCTCGATGATCAGGGTTCCTTCAAACCCATTTACTGCCTCAACAACAGAGGTGAGAGCAGGTTCAGGATCATGTCGAATGATCAGTTTGG